ATAGCAGAATAATAAGCGTTCTTCTGCGTACAAGGGACCCTTGGTAACAAAAGATTCATAGCATATTTTATATTTTTAGAAGACCGGGAGATTTTTTCGTGGCGGTTGATATTCTGGCTTTAAAATATCTGTTGAAGTTTTTTTCTATCAAGAGGAACCTAGTAGAAAAACTTCTAAATTAGTAAGATTTTCTATTTAAATGTGCCTTTGGGAGACTTTCTTCTTTTTATGTAATAGGGCTGGTATTCTGGAACATCTGAGGGGAATCTTATCTATAAAGTAACTGAGAAGGGCCTTATTTGAAAACATGTGCAGTAGCATCTAAATATTAGGACAAGTGAAGGCCAGTCGAATTTCTTTCAACGGTACATAAAAATCAGGTGAAAGGTCGTAAACCAACACAAACATATAAGAGGTCATATAAACCATATAAGTATTTTCTATCACTGGACTATCTATGAATACCAAATAATTTTGTCTGTCCATAAAAGATCAGTAAAAAGGAGTTACGGTTTATCCAAGCTAGTTCTTTTGTGGCAAGTTTTTAGAAATTGTTTTTACGTAAAGACTTCTTCTGTAACAGTTTGTTTCTGACATTCAGTGATTTTTTAAAAATTAAAAAAATATATATTAGTAACGTAGTAGTAACTGCAAATTTGCTTCTGAATATTGCCCCTACTTTTAATGCAATTCGACCCAACAAACTGAAACTCATAAATGTTGCTGGCTTGCGTGCAGCTCGCAAAAAAATGCTCATGTACTACACGCAAACAAGAAGCATTGTTGTTGTGTTATGATGTGAAAGGTGAGTTATGTGTATCCTGGTGTAGAGTGAATGGTTCTGTGCCGTTGATTGAAGTAGCGCATCTAGAGCCCCGAATGTAGAGGGCAGATATTCATGTTTTTCCTGGTGTAGGTGTTTTTCTAGGATACATGTGTACGTATGTAGGTATGTTTGTGTGTGACGATGTCTGCAACTGTGCCTCTTCGTTTATTGTAGAAGCGGCTGCTGCTGCTGACTTGTTCAGGTCCTGTTGTTAGGAGGTGTTTGTTAATGAAAGTATGTCAATGCACTTAAACGTATCAATGAGTTCAGAAGAGAGTTAGCGAAGTAAGTTTAAAAATACACTTGTCTCGTACAAGTATTGATTTGCAAAAGCAAAAAAAAAAAAAAAAACATAAACCCAGAAAAAACAACAATCACTTTCACCATATTTCATTATTTTGTTTTATTTTGGCTTGGGTGCTGCACAGGAATATTTTTAAATTATAAAATTATCAGTCGATACCTAAATTCCATGTGGTGGCGTATATCAGAAAAAATAGTTTGATTAATCAAAAATTGTGGGCGTATTAAGGTAAGCATTTGTAAACACAATGTAAATATTTGGTATTGCAAGATAGGACGATAACCATTAAGGAAAGTCTTAAAGTCGGGCGTTACCTACACCACTTTGATAATTTAGTAGAGCTCCACATAACAAATAAAAGTTTTATGGGAGAATTCAATCATACACGCTATGATTATAATGATAATTTAAAGTTCAAAAGACTAAATATGCCGAAGCATTTGTATGAAATCGGATGAGCAATATACATAGGAGCTATAGTTATATCTGAACCGATCTTCCCCAAATTTGACATACTAGCTTCGAGACTCAATTCGTAAATGCCAAATTTCATCCCATTTGGACAAATATTAGATGTTTTTGTGCAAAATAAAAGGTAAATCGGACGAAGTTATATGTGGGAGATATATCCAAATCTGAACCGATCTCGATAAAATTTAGCAAAGGTATTTCTGAGCTGTATTTGATATATTTCCCCTAATATTGTTGTTACAAAGTGCATATTACGACTGCGGAGGACTAAAAAACAAATCGGATGATCAATATATATTGGAGCTATAGCTATATCTGGACTGATTTCGATCAAATTTGGCATATTTATTTTCAGGCCTAATTTGGGTGTATATGCAAAATTCCATACAATTCGGGCTGATATTACACGTTTGGTGCACAATGAAAGCCAAATCGAACGAAGATATATATGGGAGCTATATCTTAATTTTGACCGATTATCTCCAATTTCAGTAGGGTTCGTCCTCGGGCCAAACAAAAGATCTTTGCAAAATTTCATCTGGATCGGGCAATAAATGCGACCTGTACTTTGTTTACAAAAATACATGGACAGACGGACAGACGGACGGACGGACAGACGGAAGGATGGACAGACGGACGGACGGACGGACGGACGGACGGACATGCATAAATCGACTCAGAATGTGATTCTACGCAGATCATCAAAAGGAACTATGGGTCTATCTCGTTTCCTTCTGCCTGTTACAAACAAATGCACAAAGACATAATACTCTGACCACCTTGTGGTGTAGGGTATAAAAATAGATAAAAATCTCACTCACCATCAAATAATTTTTTAGCTTTTTTGGTCAAAATTGGAAACTGTTTCTAAACTTTTGATATTTCAAGATTTTTAATTTCACAATATTAAATAAAATTTTGTCATCGCTTTTTAGGCATTCTCTAAAATATTTTTTTCAACCATGTTATATAAATTTCAATATTAAGTAGGTATATCTAATACCAGGCCACACATGATGGAGACATGCCATCCCTATTCTCCTATTCTCTATGTCCAATTTAAATTGCATTTGATTTTGTATTGCCAATAAACGGTGAAATGCCAATTTGGCCTCTGAATATTATTTTGACAGCGTAATTGAAAGATTGTCAGTTTTAGATGTCTGATCCTATGGCACTTTCACATGACCACTTCATAGCGCAGGCAAATTGGATACTTAATGGCGTTGTAATGGATATGGGCGAGTCTATATTAATATAAGATATTATTTATTTATATGATATGATTTTTCAGTATCTTGAGTATAATCATGAGGTAGATATATTCATCCCATCAAAATGAAAAAATAAGAACAATATATTATTAAAAAAACAATATATTAAAAAAATGTTTAGTAAAACAGCCCATATATGTTATAGCACTCAAGCCTTTAAACAAACCAAGACCACTCTGGAATTTTGTTCATATTGTTGTAGTAGAATACAAACACACGCACCCATCGCCATGTTCATCCATTTGAAAAGCCTTAATTGTGTAATTATGACTTTATTCAGTATAAACGACAGCGACTCTGACATTGTTCTTTATGCACTGTGGGATAATCAGTTAGTCAGAAATGAAAATCCTGCAGGTCTTCTAGGAAGACATTTAATTACAGAAGAGTTTTTGAAGACCAACAAAAACTTGAGAGCTATATGAGCGAATAGCTTATATAAAAGGTAATGTAAACTAAATACCTTCTTCATTACCAATAGGTTGGAAACAATAACAATTAAAGAGATTTGTTTTTTCTTTACCAAGTTATATATCACGGCATTACAGAGTGTTCGCGTTGGACTACAAATTTGGAAGTTGATAGTTCAATACAAAAATGGGTTATAATAAAAAAAATGTTCTATTATTTTTGTCGATTATCAGCAGCCACTTAGTATAAATTCGGATGAAATACTGGCTCGCATTCTAGAAGTAGACCTGCAGGGAGTAGATAAAAAATAGAGCATACTCTAGTTTTCGATGTCCCTTGAATAAGAGAGCATACTTTATGCTCTTAGTTCTTACTCTATTTCGAGCGATTCGAGACCCACTCTAATTTTTCAAACAGGAGTGATCAGGTGCGCTCTCAAATATAACAAAAGAATGAAGATTAAATTTCGTGTAAAACTCGCAATCTTCGAACACACTCGAGTAAAAACGGGCAAATTTTTGCTCTGGTGAAACACCGTTACCGGTTACGACTTGGAAAATCACTATTTACTATTTTTCAGACTTTTTGTGGATCTATTACAGAGAGAATATTTTCTATGGATATATGGCATTTGACAGGTCTCTTGAAGGTAGACTACAGGTCGTTCTATAGCAGACTCTTTGCATTTCTTCTATAAATAATAAATAAACCGTGTATTATAACTCAGCTGGTCGTGTTCTTCAAGGTCCCTTAAAATAGTCTTTAAGAAATCCACGGATATAGTTCTAGTGATCATTTAAAAATATTCCTTCCAATATTGAATATTGTAGTCCTGTTGGTTCTTTTAACACATTCTCTAAAAAATCACGATTATAGTCCTGCAGGTCCTTTAAAAAGAAATCTTTAAAAAATCCCCGTTGGTCCTTTAAGGATATTCCAATTACAGGAGTCTATTCAAAAGCCTTATATTTATCGAAGGCTCTTAATATGTCTCCTTGGGCTAAACTACGATTTAAAAGTGTCTTATGGAGACATACCCTTTCGTAAACGACTTTTAGAGGTTTCCTATTCACAGGTCTCCTATGGATATCTTTTTATATATTTCCTAGGGAAACAAAACCAAACAAGAAGACGTATTATCTGCTACAGTAAAGACTTGTTTTTGGACTCCTAAGAGTCAAGAATCTTGTAGGACGTTGTATGTATAAATTATTTTATGGATCTGCTTTATATATATATAACATATCTTTGGGAGATCTCCCTCAAAGTAGGTTGTAGGTCTCACAGCTTTTGGGTGGACAGAAATTATTCTGTTTTTAATAAGGAAATAATTCTCACTGAAATTAAAAATAGTTTTAAATTTTATTCAGAATAGTTTCCGAAATCTTTTTCAAACTTTCCATTTTCCAAAACCCTCACATTACCCATTGTGTTACATTACTGACAAGCCCTTTGTTATTATTGTTGTCGTTGTCGTTGGCGTTGTTGCAGTTGTTGTCGTTATGAATATTGCTTGCTTTAGTGACAATTGACTATAATTTCATCTGTCGCCATTTTAACATAACAACAAAACCCCCTCCGTTTTGCACCGAATTATTAAGAGGATATGATTGCAGCTGGTAATGATGGCATTAACGCTTATGGCTACCGAGGGTTTCACGAAAAGGGGGTGGATGGGCCGACAGACGTAGAGCAATGGATGCGTAGTTGGATGTTTAGCTTTGTGCATGCATTCGAACACAAACTCTGGTCGGCCGATGACCATCAAAGTAATTTTCGAATTTTCCCTATAAAAACCCTAAACCCCATATTTATCGTTAAAATTGCTATGTGGCCTTTGGCGGAAATCTAATATCAAAGGATAACAGCGGCGGTATCATGAAATTGTTAACATTTGCAAAAGTTTTCAATATTTTGTGTTACAATGTGGCCATCATAGTTGCGCTGGGCCAACTGGCATGTTGTGGCAAAAGCTGTGAACTGTTGGCCTTTAAAGAATATTTGGATTTTCAACATTTGAAACAGGCCATTGTAATCTATGGTGGCGATGAAGCGAAGGCTTATGCTGCCGAAATGGGCAGAATGAATAATAGTTTTCTTAAATTCTTTAACACCAACCAATTGAAGGAAAACACCGATTTTTATCAATTGCTTCGTGGAAATTCGTATACAGTTGGCATCTTGATGAGCCATGCCAGTAGGAATGCTGTCCAAGATCAGTTGCTGGTTAAGGCATCGGAGTTGTTTTCGTTTAACAACTCCATTTCGTGGTTTGTCATTTTGGAAAATAATTGTAACATCGAAGGGGAAATTTTTAAAAATATTCGCGAGACATTCGGTCATTTCAATATACTTTTCAGTGCGGATTTCACGGTGGTTATAAAAAAGAAAAAGTATGCTAATCATTAACTACATCGAGTGGTTATTAAAACTGAAAAATTTTATATTTTTGGATTTAGATGTTATTTCGATTTATATGATATTTATAAAATATGTTACAAATGCAATGATGACCGTCTGTCTATTGAGTATAAGGGGAACTGGTCTCGGGAAAATGGTCTGTCAGTTGCCGAACGTTTCAGACTTCCGTTTGTGCTCAAAAGGAATAATTTCCGAAATTCTACGGTCAATGTGGCTGCTGCGGTAAGTTGAAAATTATTTTATTTGTAGATAAACATACACCCACCACGTAGAAAAATAGGAATAGGATAGGAAACTAAGTCACATCAGTCTTTTATCTGCAAGCAAGTTCGAAAATGGGCTATATTGGTCCACGGGATCGTATAGTCCCCATACAACTATACCCCATACAACTATATAATTCAATGGAAATTCTACACGAGGAGTGTTGAATTGTCTATCATGGTCCACGATATCCCATACACCCCATACAACCGTACCCCCCGATATTAGGTATTTTGATGATTTTAGTGACAGTATTGACTGGAATTGCTTTCAATTGTATTCGTAGCTGTAGCGTATTTGTAGCTCGCAATGGGTACTTCAACCTATGTTGGAAAATTGTCTATGCAGGTCCACGTTTTTGTATGGCCCCCATATAACGATGCCCCCTATATTCGGTATTTTGATGATTTTAGCGATATTTTTAATCGGAATTATTTCCGATTTCGTATTTGAAGTTTCTAATAGGTATTACCATCTCTGACTGAAAATTGATCATGCAGGTCCATGTCTTCTTATAGCCCCCATAAATGGTTTTTCATATAATAGGTATTTTTGGACGAACTTTTCTTAATATTTTGAAAGTTCCTTCCAAATCGTATAGGTATAACTTCCTTTTTACTTGTTTTTTCACTTTCTTTTCAGATCCTCAACTACTCACCCAGCTTGAATATGACAATGTCCGAATATTTGAATGATAACAAACGCTATTTGCAAAATGATTTTATGCAAAGGAAAACATACCAACTAATGACCATAACCCAGGATGTGTTTAATTACAGGTGAGATATTCCAAAAAAGTTAAAAAGGATTGTCAGGGTCAACTACCGACCATTGGGTACTCCTTCCATTTTTCATAACAAGTGACTTTTAGGACCATAAAAAGTACTTCCAATCGGTGTTATCCTCACAAAGGGGGTTTTCCAAAATCTGAACTGAATTGAAGCGATTTGTGACAAAATGCTAAGTTTTTTTTCTTAAGTTTTTTCCTTTCCGGTAAGGAAAGGTCAAAAGTTGGGCGGGGCCGTATGCCTATTTAGGGAAGCTCTCGCAACAAAGAAGTTTATATTGGGAATTTATGTAAAGTAGATCATATCAATAACCGTAAAATCGCATGAAGATGTACATCGAAGCTATATAAAAATCTGAACCGATCTCAATAAAATTTGCCAGAGATATTTTCGAGCAGTATCTGATACCCGGTATCATATATCACTGTTATGGAGTTCATATAACGCATGTGAGTGACCTAAAACCAAAAAGTGGATAAAAGATATATATTGGAGTTATAGCTATACCTGAACCGGTTATTCCTAAATTTGATGTACTTGATTTTAGACAGAATTCAGTAGGAATTGCCAAAATTCAGGACATTTAGACAGATGCTTACCATTTGGTGTACAATTAACCCGAAATCTGTTGAAGATATATATAGGAGCTATATCTAAATTTTAACCGATTCTCGCCAATTTCAATAGGGTTCATCCAAGGGCCAAACAAATATTTTTTTCAAAATTTAATTTCAATCGGACAATAAATGCGACCTGTGTTTTGTTCACAAAAATACAGTGATTTTATGAAGACCCCCAAAAGTAACTTTGGATCTATCTCGCTTTCTTATCCGTGTCACAAAAAAATGAACAAAAACAGAATTGGTGACTTATAGTATAATTGATGAGCAATACTTGTTTCTTTGACGTCATACTTCTAAATGATGCTTTGTTGGAGATTTTTGCACAAACTCACACAAAATACGGGTATACAGGGTTGCCCATATTCGATGGACCCATCTGGCAACGCCATAACTTTACAGAGATGACACATCGCAGCAGCAGCAGCAGATTTTTACTATGAACCAATACACGCCACGCGAGCGCTCTGAAATAGTTGAAATTTACATTCCACAGAAGAAGTCAATTATGAAAACTTAACGTGCTTTTAAAACATTAAAAAATGTGAGAAGTGCGCCATCTAAGAACACCATTAATCGTTTATACGAAAAATGTTCGACTGGTAAGGCTCTTTCTAATCCGAAGAGGCCATATAAAAGTCGACCAAGGCGATCGGCCGAGAATATCGAGTACGAGCCAGTGTTGAGAGGTCCCCAAGAACATCCCAAAAACGCCGTTCTCAGCAGTTGAGCATGGTTCGGTCTACTTTACAACAGATTATTCGCATGGATTTGCATTTGTTCCCGTACAAAATTCAAGCCTCGTCGATTGGAATGGGCCCAAAGAGTCTTCGAAAAAACATGGGTCCGTCGAATATGGGCAACCCTGTAGACTCTTGGATTTAGCTTTTTATTTTTTTGTGTTATACAGAATATGTCTATAAAGTCTGTTTTTTTGATAAACTTATAGTGTAACTTTCGAATATGGTGGGTTATATTTGCTTTATTTAAATTAATTTATTGAAACATTTATTTTCCTAATGCAATTTGAATATACCCTCTACATGGGTCTCTCTGGCTATTAAGAGGAATATCTGATTAGACCCAGTGTTTGTACATCCTAATATTTCTGTCAAACATATAAACAAACCTTTTTTTAAGACATACAATTATTATAAATTATAATTATTCGACAGTTTTAATCTGAAAATCGAAGATAGCTGGGGTGTTTATAATAATGGAACTTGGACCGGTGTCATTGGCCTGATAAATTCCAACGATGCTGAATTTAGTTTATCTCCGCTACGTTATATGACCGAGCGCTTGCATGTGGTCAGTTATACGCCGGTGGTGCATGTCGAATTGTAAGTATAGAAAAAATATAGATATTTTGAAACTAATGCCCTGATTTTCTAAGGTAATCGAAAATGGCAAACAAAATGAAAACTGTCCTTCGAAGTTGACTTAAATTGAGTTTTTCTAAACTCACGATTTTTCTAAATTTTGCTATAATTTAGGGACTGTTAGTATAAAACGCAACGCAAATGCAATTGACTAAACTTTTCAAAAAATAATTCCCATTTTCTCTCGTTTGTCGATTCTAATCACCACTCTAGTAAAAGACAGAAACAGACAAATGCAGAGACTCAAAATTATTTTTTTTTTCGATTTGGAATCGTTTTGATTGAAACTCAAATTATTTTTTTTTTGTTTCGGAATTAATTTGATTGCCTTGGATGAACAGGTCATAAGTTCTGGCCTATGAAGGTCAATATATGCATATTTACCATTTTCCCAAAATCTTGTGCAGGGTACGTTTTCTTCTTCGTCACCCGAAACGGACAAGCATACGCAACATCTTTTTCGAACCATTAGCCGTCAATGTGTGGTGGTGTGTCTTGGCCTTAATTATAACAACGGGATTTTTGTTGGGCATACATGTCTATACCGAATACCATTTATATTGGAAGATGAAAATGTTGCAACCAAACGAGACTGCTGCAACATTTTACCAACTTGGCCCCGAACACAAAGTCGATTTTGTGGTTTTGACCATACTGGAGACGGCATTTATGCAAGGCCCCTCACCTGAACAGTTTCATGCCAATTCAACGCGTTTGCTATTGACATCGGTATCTGTGTTCGCCATACTGTTGATGCAATTCTATGGTGGCTACATTGTGGGCTCTCTGCTGTCCGAGACTCCGCGTACAATTACCAACCTGGATGCCCTGTACAGTAGCAGTATGGAGATTGGAATGGAAGATATTTCGTATAACTACGATATATTCAATTTGACATCAAATCGTGTGGCCCAAAAGATGTACAAGAATCGCATCTGCAAAAATGGCAAACGGAATATTGTGACATTGGAGGAGGGATTGCAGCGCATAGCCAAGGGAAGTTTTGCATTGCATGTATCACTGAATAGAGCATATCAGCTGTTGACCGGTAAGTACGAGTATCTAGATTTGGATGGCCATGTGGGAGATGTCACAATTAATTTGGTATTTTATAATTTTTTGAGTAAAATCTCGTTTTTATGTAAAAATATCCCTAAATTATTTGGACCTGCAGACAATCTTCTTTAATAACAGTTGAATGGTTGTTTATAATTCATTGCTTCATGGCGATTACATTGTGGATTTCTGCATCTGTGGCATGAGCTGTTTGGCGAGTAATGTATCAAACCACCACTGCTGCCCCATAACAGCCACACTAATTCCGAACAGTAACCGGGTGTTGCCACAATAAAAGTGGCAACAAAAGATTTACTCGTTTCAGGTTTTATTTGCCAAGAATCATAAATAAATTGTTAAATATTTTCTGTTAAGTTTATGTGGCAGATAAATTTTCTGCCATAAACAAAACAAATGAAATATCTTCGTTTGTTGTTAACAATACTATTGCCACGATAATAGCCTCTCCTTTTTGTGTTGCAGTGATTATTGTGGCATAAATTGAATATTGGGTGCAGGGAAAGGGGTTTCTTTGTTCCTTTGGTCTTACTCTTTTATGTCAAAGAGAAGGGGATGAAACAACTCAAACCACGGGTGGCTTTAGTATCCAAAAAAAAAAAAATGTTTTTATATGACTCTCTAACATTACTCAATCGATTTACATTTATCAACACACTCCCATTATTTCGGTGACCTCTCTCTCTCTCTTTCTCTTTCAGACATGTTAACTGAATCGCAATTTTGTGAACTTCAAGAAATTACATTTAACAACCCCTTCGTAACGGCCATTGGTGCGGCCAAGACAACGCCGTATTTGAAATATATCAAGAGTGCAGTTTTGAAATTTCGCGAAGCTGGTATAATGAAATACAATGATCTTGTTTGGAAGCTGCCCAAAATCGATTGTGCTGCCTTAGCCAAAGACGATGTTGAAGTCGATTTGGAACATTTTGCTCCGGTATTGGTATTTTTGGCATTTTCTATTATGATTTCGGTATGGATTTTGATGTTGGAATTTCTCTATAAACGTATAGAAAAAATGCTTCATATTAATTATGAAAATATGTGCAGAACTATACGTAAATGTTTAAAGAATTAAGTCAAATTGTTGAAGAGTGTGCAGAGTGAAAGAAGTAATTATTTGCTAAAATTATTTTGAAAGATAGAGGGTGGTTGTGCATCACTCGAGTATTTACGCCTTTTCAATTGTATTTTCAGAACCCATGAGACTTGACTTGTAATAAAAGGCTTTGAAATATAGGTGGAAATGTAAATAAATGGAAATGGAAATGGAAAAATAAATAAATAAAAATAATTAAAATTGTTTACACATTCGTTTATGATGTTGCACTATTTGTTGATGTTTAATAAATGTTTTAATTAGTATTTTGAAATTTGATATTTTTTATTTGAGTGTAAGCCAATTCCTTTTGGTACTTTTAGTACTATGTATAAAATGTGAGTTTATTATTGATTGACTGATTATAGTCCAAAATCTCAGATAGACACCTAGTGAGTTCAAAACTGGAGGATAACAATTCTGAAGGATACTGATGTAGACATAATATAGAAATCATAGATTAAACGGTCAATGGTGTTCGGTATCGTAAATTGATAACCAGTTTTTATACCCTACAACACTATGTGTTGGTGGCATTTAAAGTTGATTGGACCAAAAATTATGTAACACCTCGAAATATTGGTTTCCACATAGGAAAGTATGTATGGATCTTCCTATCTCGCCGAGCTGAGTCGATCTAGCTATGTATGTCCGTCCGTCCGTCTGTTCATATTAATTTGTAATCACGCTGCAGGTCATAATTTTGGGCCGATCCTCAGAAATTGAAAATGGAGGTGGGATTATGGGCAGAATAGAACCCTATTGTTTTTGGAGATGATCGCTTAATATTTGAAATGGACCAAAAACTGTAAAATTTCTTGATTTTGCAGTTGCTCTACAGGTCGCAATTATAGACTATAGAGCTGGGCAGAAATATTCCAATTTCGGTCATCGGGTAATATTTAGTGGGTGAAATAGACCATTACATATAGTAAAATATATACAAAATGTATGTACAAAGGAAGGGGGTGTTTGCTAGAATGCTTATATCTCAAGAATGGCGGGACCGTTTTTGACAAATTTTGTCAATTCAGAAAGCCCTTTTTGCATAAAAGAATAAAGTCCAAAAAGATGCCAATAATGATGTTAATAAAGATTTTGTAATATTTTGTGACACTTTTTAATTTTTCATATATTTTATCGGATGCGATTTTTTCAATTTGGCTTATAATATTGAAGTATACATTTTGTAATATTTTTCACCTTACAACACAGGTTGGGGTTATTATGTACTGATTACAATTATTGTCCGATCCTCACGTACCCAAGGATAAGGTTAGGCGCAATATATTTTGGGGGTTGAAATGGACCAACAACTAAAAATGTTCCGGATTTTGCAACCGTTATAAAGGTTACAAATAGAAACCAAAGGACACGAAATCTCGCATGAAGTTAGAGTTTAGGACAACGGATAAAATGGGCCACTACATTTGTGTGAAAAAAATACCAACATTTCCATTTTACCGAAACGCTGAAAGTAACTTACAGTCTATATCCAAAACACGCAAAAAGCCGAACTTCTGGCTTTTTATGCTAATTTCGTTGACGAATATAGCCAAATATCGTAGACAAACAAATCATATAGATGGATCTAAATTAAGAGATACAAAAGGGACACACAATTGAAATCAATCGCCATGCCTGAGAAGAGAGTTAAGCACAGGGAAGAATTCTAGCATTTTGGATGACCATTGGATTATATTTAGCTGTAAAATGGACCATAACAATTAACAGCATGACGGAGTACGTAAATATTGGTCATATTTCATTGGTCAAAATGCTAAGGGTAATATCTGGGCAGTGCTCCGTGATATAATTTCAAAAGCGAAATTTTCCAAAATGGATTTGTATATAAGGGGGCTTCTAACACATAATATTGTTGTAGGGTATTACAGGGTCGGCCACGCACGACTATGGCCTTTGCTTAATTGTTTTTACCTACAAATACTTTAGAACGTAAGATACACATGTAGTTTTATTGTTAAGAAGGCATATCTTGATCATAGGGTTATAAAATGTCAATTTAAACGTATTTAGATTGGCAAATGCGATCCAAACCATCCAAATATTAAACAGCGGTACCGCTTTCTGAAGCCTGTATATATATTGTGCTATATTTACAAAGCTGCTTCCCAGTTCTAGGATCAGTTATTTATGCCTGAAACGTGGCACCTTCTTAACCTTCTCACAAATGAAAAAAGGCATGTATTTATATACAACATTATCAGGATTCCACGTGTCATTTGATGTAACAGTAATAATTTCCCCGTTACTTTTCCTGACAGAATTTTATATGAATATTTCTGTGGTTGTTGTTGTTTCATTTATTGTCTATTGTTAGCTTTAGTTAAAATTGGCCATAATTTTATCTGTCACAAATTTAACAAAACAGTCAACCCATAATGTGGCGCCCAATTACTGTGAATTAGAGTCTTGCAACAATTTACAATGGAATTAATCCCTATTATTAGAACAGCGAATGGGACAGAAATTCAGAATAAATGCGTAGTTGTTAGTCGTTTAGCTTTTTGGAATTCAAAATGAAATGCGTGGTCATTAAACCAAAATGGAATTCTCTATATAAATATTAAACCTAACATTTTTTTTGCTGAAATAACCTTGAGGCCTTTAACGGGAATCGAATCAAACAATTCCAGCGGCGTAATGAGGAAATTGTTGGCATTACATAATATTTTTCGTATTGTGTGCTGCAATGCGTGTGTTATAATCATACTTTGTCAAATGGTATGTTTTGGAAAAAATGTTGAACTACAGGCCTTTGAGGAACATCTTAAGTTTCATCATTTAAAACAAGCGATTGTAATCTATGGCGGCAGGGAGACTCGAGAGCACAATTGTTTTGGAATAAATAGTGTGAATCGATATTTTTTCAAATTTGTAAATATTGCATATTTAAAAAATAACACAAATTTTTATAAACTACTTCGTGGAAACTCCCATCGAACGGGAGTATTTATGACCTACACTCGTGGAAACGTAGTAAAGGACAGATTTCTTCAGAAGGCATCAGAAAATTATTGGTTTAACAATTCCATGTCATGGTTTATTGTTTTGGACGATAAATACCACAATAACCATGTGGAGAAAATGCAACAAGCTTTTGGTAATTTAAATGTCCTATTAAATTCAGATGTTTCAGTGGGATTAAAAAATAAGAGGTAAGAATGGAAGAAAAAGGATTGAAGTCAAAATTGTGTATAAATTGTGCTTCTTTTTCCAGCTGCTTCATCGATATTTATGATATTTACAAAATATGTCAACGTTGTAAAAATGAGAAATTGACAATTGAGTACAAAGGCAATTGGTCGCAAACCAGTGTTTTGAAAATCGAAGATCGTTTCAGACTGCCATTTGCTCTACGAAGACGGAATTTTAACAACTCCCCTGTGAAAGTTGCAACGGCTGTAGGTTAACGAATTTTTGAGAATTATTGAATAAATTTGTCTAAATATTGGTTAAATGATTCTTTCCAGATCCTCGACTATTCTCCCAGCTTGAATATGACTATACCGGAATATTTGAACGACAACAAACATTATTTGTACAACGATTTTTTGCAAAGAAAGACCTATCAACTTTTGACTCGCACTCAAGAGGTGTATAACTACAGGTAAAGTTGCAAAGAATATTTGAAATTTCCGAATATCCAATTTTCAATTCTGCACCATGGGCTCAAATAGGCGTGAGATATTCTTTTTTTATTTTTATACCCTTAGTCATATGGTCAAAACGTACTCCATCGAAATAAAGGTTGTGGACCCTAGGTCTCTTTGGACCAAAACCGTTTCAGGATATTTGGTGTCGATCTAGAGGTGTCCGTCCGTCCAGCCAGGGGAGTATCCAACTTGGTCCAAACTTTGTGCATCGAAATATTATTTTCAAACTTAGATCTAAAATGTGAACATTTTCTTTGAAAATAATCTACCTAATAGAACACGAAAGATCATACAATTTTTTTTCAAACTTTTCAAATCCCCAAATTTGCATCAGTGCTAGGTCAGTTGCAAAATTGAACAACAAATGCCTACTCTATTAAGTACACCCCCACAAAGGGTCAAAATTTTGAATAATTGTAACTCTAATAAAATGTGTAATAATTGTCCGAATGTCTTCGTATTTCGCGTATCTCAATATTTTTACCAACACATTATCTTGTATGAAGATGAAATGTATCAGAACACTCCTTCTGATACCTCGCACTCAACGGGGAATAATTATATCTCTCATTAAAAGCGAAATAAGCATTCGATTTTCTTCAAATTTTAGACATTCCAATATATTTATTAACAAAAGATCTGGTGAGAAGATGGCCCACTGGTTCCGGGTTAAAATGTTGAGTAATTACACCTCATATAAAATCCGAAATAAGGATCTGATTCATTCTAAACTTCACACATTCGAACATTTTTACTAACACAAGATATGTTGTGAAGATGGTAGATATCGGTCCACTCCTTCTTGCACCTCCCCCCACAAAGGGGTCAAAATTTTGAATAACAAAAAGCTCATTAGAGCGAAATAAGAATCCTATACTCTTTAAATTACATACATCTCAATATGTCTACTAACGAAGATCTGATGTGGTGATATGGGATGTATCGGACCATTCCTTTTGACACCACCCCAATATAGGGGTCAAAATTTTGATATTCGTATAAAATTTGAAATAAATGTTCGCTTTTCTTTAAAGTTTCCACTTGACAATATTTTAATCTGTATTATATGAATATATGGAATATGGAATATAATGGAATACTTCGATCCGCTACACATGGTACCTTACGCAAATTTATGTTCGAATATATTTCATAATTTTTTTTTATTTGAACACCTATTTTATTCCCCTTTTTAACTTTAGTTTCCAACTAACCATTGAGAAAGATTGGGGCTCATTTTCAAATGGAACCTGGTCAGGCGTTCTCGCCCTCTTAAAGAATCATGATATTGAATTTTCCGTAAATCCGCTACGTTATATGAGTGAACGTTTTCACATACTCAGCTACACGCCGGAGGTGCATGTGGAACTGTAAGACTCACATGAATCCTCATTATGCCCATTTATTATACTATTAATTACACATTTAAATTACAGAGTACGTTTTCTTCTACGACATCCAAAACAAAGGGGCATACGCAACATCTTCTTGGAACCACTGGCCAACACCGTTTGGTGGTCTGTATTGGCTCTAATTGTAATCACGGGCATTATGCTGGCCATACATGTGCATGCCGAATTTCAAATTTATTGGGAACTGAAAAGGCTACAGCCACACGAGAGTGCGGCCACAACGTTGAAGCAACTTGTTCCCGAACATAATCTGGATTTCATTGTATTGACCACACTGGAGGCTGTGTTCATGCAAGGTCCTACACCTGAGCAGTTTCATTCGAATTCCATACGCTTGTTGTTGACCTCGGTTTCGGTGTTTGCTCTGTTGTTGGTGCAGTTCTATGCGGCGTATATTGTCAGTTCGTTGTTATCGGAGCCACCACGCACCATCACCACCCTGGACGCTTTGTACAACAGTAGTCTGGAAATTGGCATGGAGAAGGCCAGGTATAACTATGACCTTTTCAATGGAACAACAAATCGTTTGGTGGATAATATTTTCAAGTATCGTATCTGTAAGAATGGCAAACAGAATATCGTGACATTGGAGCAGGGTGTGCAGCGTATTGCCAGGGGTGGGTTTGCTTTGCATGTAACACTGAATCGGGCATATCAGCTGTTGGAAGGTAAGTATGCATGTGGGTGTAGGGAAGCAATGGATGAAATAATATTCTTAAAGCCCTTCGATAAAAAGCAAAAGTTTCAGTTTGCAATCTGAAGACAATTACACACGTTCATGTTTGGAGTCGGGTCCGGTCTTAAAAAATTGCCATGGCTAAAAAATGGTAATTCAACATTGGGTAAAATTTTGCGAAGAAATGTTTTTTGTTGAAAGATTGAAAATGAAAATTTCCGAATAAATAAAATCCGTCAACAATTCTGTTAAAATCTTAAAACTACAGAATATAGCCGTTATATTGGGGTCTATATGAAGACGTGGACCTGCATAAGCAATTTTTGTCATAAGCCAACACAATATTAAAATGCGAAACTTGAAAAAGTCGGTGAATAATGTAGCTAAAATCATCAAGGTACCGAATATAGGGAGGTACCATGGGGGCTATACCAAAACGTGAACTGCGAAGACTATTTTCTGTCGTAGGCTGTAGTATCTATTTTGAACTTCAAATACCAAATTCGAAACATTTTTGGTAAATAATGTCGCTTAAATCACCAAAATACCGAAAACTGGGAGGTACCAGTATATGGGGGCTATACCACAACGTATATATAAATGGTCCATTTTCAATAGCAAAAGTCCTGCAGACTAATATACATTTTAGTAAAATTTTATGAACCTACTTCCTTTCGTTCGGAAGCTAGAGTGATTTTCACAGACGGATGGACACGTTAAATCGACATAGAATTTTATGTTGATCAAAAATATATTTTGTAGGGTCTAAAATTTATATTTGAAGCTGTTACAAATGGAATGACAAATTTAATATACCTACCTATGGAAGGGTATAAAAATTGTCAAATTATATCGGAGATATACAATCAGTGCACCAGCACTGTATATTTTTTGAATAAAGACACTCATGTGGTTTAATATATAGCTCAAGCTTAAAATATGACAGAAACCCACAAGGTACCGACATTCCGGGACTTTAAGTTTTATACCAAAACGTGGACCATAATATACCGTTAAGAAACATTTTAATATTGCGCATTTTATTATTGTTGTTTTTCTTCGTTTCCAGACAAATTAAGTGAATCTCAATTTTGTGAACTACAAGAGATAATATTTACCAACGCTTTTACCACTGGCATTGGTATGGCCAAAACCACACCCTATTCGATTTATCTAAAAAGTGCTATTTTGAAATTTCGTGAGACAGGAATTTTGAATTACAACGACTTGGCATGGAAATTGGCAAAAATCGATTGTGCTGCCCTGGCCAAAGATGATGTAGAAGTTGATTTAGAACATTTTGCACCCGTCTTAGTTATCTTAGCCCTTGGCATTGTCATTGCAATATGGGTTTTCATTTTGGAACACCTTTATAAACGCGTCGCAAATCGTCTACGTGTAAATTATGAAATTGTTTGTAAAACTATGCGTAAATATTTGCCCAAATAAACAGAGTTTTTTTCACACAAATGAAGAGCGGCACAAGAAGGAGACGGAATTTAGGCCATCTCCACCCCTGCGGCACCGGTAAGCATTGTGAGAATGGTACACAATATTATTTGCAAGTTTATTATTAACATAATTAAACAAATTAAATTTTATTTGCAGGAAAACAATGAGGGCCCAGGCTTCAAATAATGGCTGGCAAATACGGTCCGTTAGGGTTGTCGAAATGGAAGCGTCTTTTATCCTGTCACGCTAATTATTGATGTTGTCAACATTTTAGGTTTCACAAATAAATGTTGTAGATCGTACTTAGAAAAAAAAAAAAAAAAAAAAAAAAAAAAAAATAGAATGTATACACCGATGATTTTCAATATATAATTCGGATTTTGAAATATATAGCTATATTAATTGGGAATTTTTGATAATGGATATGCACAGAGCAAAATTCGGTATTGTTATAATTGTATACCGTTAAAATGCAGATAATCAGATTGTGCACGTATATGTCCATGAAATGTATAATTTCCTGGAACTGAAATTTTATATTTCGAACGAATAAACAAATTGGCGTTAATGTCGAATTGTAATTCAAAGATAATATTATTAACAAGTTGGAATATAGTCTATGTAGAGGAACATATACAGTCTTTACGAACTGTACGTGAGCGGATATAACATTTTTGTAGGAGCATATAAGGGGGTTTCTTGATAAACAAATTGTCTGAGATATTTTAGAAGAGATATAAGGAATCCATCCAAATGATGGAAAGCTATTAAATGAACAAATTTCTTTGTAGTGGATTATTTTCGACGATTTGAAAATCTGCTCTTGATCAGAGAAAATTTATATTGACCAGGTTTTCACCATTAATAATTTTAAAGAACATCCACGAGAGAGTTTTGAAAAAAAAAATAATATTTCCAGATGAGCAGAAAAGAGTCCTTACGTCGGAGTATTGCAAAGGACAAAAATATAAAATTTTATATAGGACTAGAAGCGGTTTTTACGGCAACCAGAGGAAAAGATAGCTTCAAAGGTTATATAGAGAGAGTCTTTGTAAACTGCTAGAAGCGCGACTTTGTAGGCGGTCAATGGAAAGTCTATAGACAAAAAACAAGTTCTTATATACGAAAAAAGGGATACATTAAATGCTAGACGGCCAGAATAAAGTTTTTATAGGCAACCAATAGTGAGTAGTATTCACGACCTTAGGAGAGTTTTTATAGAGACCAGAAATAAGTTTTTATATGTTTAGACGAACAAAAGACCCACACCCAGAACTGATTCTTTATATACCACCAGAGTACAGCCTTTCTACATGACACAGATAAAGCGCTTTTAAATCACCGAAGCAGGAAAGCAGAAACAAGATTTTTAGGCAAACAGAAGAAGGTTTTTATAGACGATTAGGAGAGAGTTATTATGGAATACCAGAAGAGAGCTTTTATAGACGACCATAAGAAAGTTCTTATAGGCAACCAGAAGAAAGCGTTTCAAGAGGACCGTTAAATTTAGTTCTTATAGACGGCCACGAGAGAGTCTTTACAAAGGACAAAAAGACAATCTTTATGGGCGGCCAGAAGAGAGTACATGTAGATGATCAGAAGATTCCTTATAGAAGGCCAGAAGAGAGTCTCTATAGATAGCCAGAACTGAGTCGTTATAGATAACCAGAAGAGAGTCCTTATGGAAGACCAGAAGAGAGCTTTGTTTAGGACCAGAATATAGTTTTTTATAGACGACCAGGAGAGCGTCTTCACAAAGGATAAGAATGGAACGGCCACAAGGGAGTCTTTATAGACGACAGGGGTAGTCTTTATTGACGTCCAAAAGAGAGTCTTAATGGACTCCAGAAGAGAATAAATATATACAATTGGACGAAATTTATAAATGACCAGAAGAGAGTCTTTACAAAGGACAAGAAGAGAGTCATGTATAAAGACTACACACAAATAAAGTCAATTTTAATGACCAGAACATGGTATTTATAGACGACCAGAACAGAGTTTTTACATGACCAAATTAGAGTCTTTATGCAGAAGAGAGTTTTATACAGAAGAGATTCTTTATACCCGACCAGAATATAGTCTTTATAGACGGCCATAAGAGAGTTTTTCGTGATTACCAGAATAAGACCTTTAAATACAAAAGAAAATCTTTAATACGAACGGAACACAGTATTTAAAGGCGGTCAGATGACTTTTTAACTCCCCGGAAGAGAGTTTTTATAGCGGAAGAGAGTCAAGAAGAGAGTTTTTTTTACAGAAAGAAGATATTTATAGACGACGGAGAGTCTTAAAAGATTATTTATAGAGATAATCTTCATCCATGAATAAATAAGCTGAATAAATTCTTTATAGGCGGCCAAAATAGAGTATTTTTAAATGATCAATATAAATCCTTTTTACACGGCCAGAAGAGTGTATTTTGCGTAATAAGGGTTATTTTAGAAGACCAGAAGAACGCCCTTTTAAAGAAATAGAAAAGTTCTTTGCAGACGACCAAACGATAAAAGAGAGTCTTTATAGATGAATTGAGGGTTGACTTTATAAACTAAGAATAGAGAGTCCTTATAAAAACAAATCTTATAAGACGATTAGCAGGATTTTTTTGATAACAAATTAAAAAGTAGTAAGTTTAAGTTTGAATACCCTCCACCATTTGGAACGAATTTGCAAATTTCCCAAAAATAAAATCCTTAAAAGAATTCTAATAAAATTTTAAAAATGCCGAAAATAGCCGTTATAATGTGGTCTGTACGACGTGGACCTACATAGGCATTGTATGTCATAAGCCATTACCATATTCAAATTCGATACTTGAAATAAACGGTGATTAATGTAGCTAAAATCATCAAAATATCGTATATTGGGAAGTACCGTTACGTCGGAGCTGTGCAAAGACCTGGACCAGTATAGACAATTTTCTGTCATAGGCTGTAGCATCCATTACGAACTTCAAATACAACATCTCAAACAATTTTGGTGGGTATTGTACCTAAACTCGTCAAAATGCCGAATATAAGGAGGTACTGATATATGGGGCCTATACGAATACCTTTACCTGCATATACAATTTTCTGTCACAGACTGTAGTTCCCATTACGAACTCTAAATACGTAATTTGAAACAATTCCGGTGAATAATGTCGCTGAAATCATCAAAATACCGAATATGAGGGGTACCGTTATACGGGGGGTCATACGAAGACGTGCACAAACAATTTTCTGTCATAGGTTCTAGTATCTATTACGAAATTCAAATATCAAATTTGAAACAATTCCGGTTAATAATGTCGCTTAAATCATCAAAATACCGAATATAGGGAGGTACCGTTATATGGGGGCTATACGAAGAAGTGGACCTGCTCAGACAATTTTCTGTCTTAGGCTGTAGTATCCATTTCGAACTTCAAATACCAAATTTGAAACAATTCTGGTGAATAATATCGGTGAAATAATCAAAATACCGAATATCGGGAGTTACCGTTATAAGGGGGCTATATGAAAACGTGAACCCACATGACCCATTTACAAACTGAACCTGCCTACTGGAAAAATAAAAATGTGCAAAATTTTAGTCTTCTATATAAATTCGTTCGAAAGATAGCGTGATTACAACAGACAGACAGACGGACATCGCTAAATTGACTTAGATTTTTACGCTGATCAAGAATATATATACTTTGTTGGATTTGACATAAGTATTTCGAGGAGTTACCATAGTAAGGTAGAGGGTATAAAAATACAATATGAAACTAACTCAACTTGGCTGATATGGATGATACCTGGATTCCCCTGAATTAGAAGAACAATTTGAGAAATAGATTGAGAAGTTAGGATTAGGTCGGCATTTTTGACGAATCGGGTTCTCAAAATATGTTAATTTTTTATTAATTCCCCGAAACAAATAGCGGAGATTAAAGAGTTTCTCTCCTGACATCCCTAATTTCAATTCGTAATGAAAGCATTTTGCGCTGTTTTTTTTATATACAATTACAAAAAAATAAACAATGATTGCTGTATACTTGCTGCTGCTGTTTTTGTTGTTGTTTTTGCCATAAATAAACGTCGGCATACTTTTCTCAAGTATTTGTTTTGTGTTGATTTTTTGCAATAGCTTTTGTTGTTGTTGTTCTTGTTTTTGTTGCTTCTGCCTTCGCATTTATTTGTTTTGCATACAAATGAGACGGAAATTTTAACGCTTTTCCAAAAAGGAAACGTATAAAATATGGAGAAAGAAAGTTACGGCTGGCGACTACGTTCAGAAGCGAATTCATTGACACCCCCTATTAGCTCCCAACATTACTCAAGCCCGGCGTTGGTGTTGTTGCTGTCTTTGATGATACACAGAAATACGGCCCAGGCTGGCCAAATGTTCATGAAATCCATAAAAAACAAAACAACAAACAATGGCAGAACTTAACTCCCAATAACAACAACAGACACTAACAGACGTAACCAGCAATTATGCTCACACTTTTTTTTTGTTGATATTTCAATGCAGGAGAGCAGATTATAAAGTTGAAAAGGAAAACAGAAATGAAACTTAAGAGCAATAATAGCAGCAGCAACAATAACTACATTCAAAATAATAAACACCAAACCGAAGTATAATGAGCCATCATAAAAAAGGTACACCCGTAGTAGCAGAGAAATCATACAAAACCAACAGCAACAAAAGCAATGAGTAGCCAGCAGAACTTTTTCATTCGAATGCGAAATGTTTTAATTCAACATTATATTTTCATAACAAAAATATATAGTGAAACCTGGCTGGGCTGGGCAGGTCTGTTCGTTTGTTTGAATTTCGACTAAAATATAAAGTATCGCCTGGCCATGGGAAATATTTAAAATTTTTTAATTTAAAATAATGAGGGTTACTGGCCAGAATGTTGGGAGGGTGAAATTGTTAACAGTCTACTTATTTTTTTTTTTTTGTTCAAATGACCCAAAAGAGGTAATGTTTTGTATTTACATTTCGTTCGTGCTTTATTTTGTAGGATATTAACCTACCGTAGGCTCGAAACCTTTAACTTAGTCTCCAAAAAGGTCAACCAGCCAACGTGAATGAATAGCGTGTTATTAGTAATAATTATATTTTAAATAAACACTTACCATATAAAGGACATGATACTCAATTAAAAAATTGAAGAGCAACAACAAACAATGAGGAATAGGTTGAAGTTCGTCTGTGGAAGGATTATTTGATTTATAATAAATAGTGAAGGGGAAATTTAAAGAAAACAATAATTTAAAGTCAATTATTGCAATTATAAGTGGGAAATTAGTTCGTTAAAAAAAATCATTAAAAAATAATGTCATATTATTGTGGGACAG